CTGGTTGCTTGCAGCCTTGTTAGGAGTGAATCAGAATATTGAAATAGCATTAACATAAGCATAAGAAATCAGATAACATTCTGTGTATCTGATTTTTTATGCTATTACTTATGACATCATTTGTTATTAATAATAAGTTCTATACAACGTGCATTCTGCGTATCACTATTTCATTATTAAGTTGTTAACCACCTGTAGTTATAGAACCCTTGAAACAATAGACTACCAAGAGACTGACATTTTTATTTTATTTAACATACCATATGGAAGAACTAAAAGTATACCTAAGTAAAAAATATAAAGTTCTAAATGAACACAATTTAAAACTGCCGTTTATAAAGATACTAAGAAGACTTTTTTTTTGTAAAATACAATGGCAAATTTGAATAAACACAATATAATTTTGCTTGCAATAATCAATTATGTGACCAATAAAACTTTGAAAAATTTGAATTTGAAAAACCGATTCCAGTATATCACTAGTTACAACGCTCACATAGTTTTCATTTGCGTTTAAGTATATCTACCTACAACACTAAAATAACGTTCTTTTGAAAACAAGTTTTTTATCCAAAGAGAAGTTTCCATTCAAAATTTGCTAAAAACGGCCGTTTATAAAGATACTTTTGTAAAAGACTAAGGCATTTGACAAAATCATTTGTATTATATGTAGCAAAACTTTGTTTGCATTGTGTTTAACAATCTACTTATTTTAGTTTAATATTAAAAAAACTTATTTCATTATTATTTTAAACTCGTCATTTATTTTATATTTCAAATTATTTTAAAATAATTTGAAATATAATAAGTTTTACTCATGGAATTAATATCATAAAACTATTTTTATGATGTTAATTCCAGGAGTAAAAATAACTCGAAGGCAAACACAAAAAATGATAAAGTCTCGATCAATAATTCAAAGCAGTGGTTAGAACTATAACTCAAGAAGTTCGATGCCGGCTCTAGCCTAATGCTCGTTTGCGGTTCTTTGTCATAAAACCGTTAGGTTTTTTTTGAGCATCTTATTACCAATGTTATATATCTGGCCAGAGCCAGCATCGAACCAAGGGCCTCTTGATTCTTAGCGAGAACTCCAACCACTTCGCCGAGGTTGATATGTTTTCGGAGTTTTCCAGAAAATTTTTTTCTGGATAAATTTTTAGTAATTAAAAAAAAAATTAAATAAATTTATTTTTAGAGAAAGAACTTTTTTTTTAGTTACTGTTTTAAAATAGAGTCAGTAACTGAAAAAAAAAGTTCTTTCGCTAGGTTATCCTTTAAAACTTCAACAATATACTAATTAGAAGCCGTGAAACAGAAAAAACAAACGATCTTTTTATGACTACGCTACGTTTATGGCTAAATTAATTACTTAATGTGCGCATACATCAACTGATTTATTTACCGCAGCGCATATATCCATAAATCCATGTTTGCCTATCCCTAAAATCTCAGGAAATTATATGTTTTATTTAAACAAGCATTTAATTGTAATTAGTGGTAGTACAGTAGTTAGAAAAAAAAATTGTATTTTTCTACAAAATTTTTTTTTCCTCAAATTGTAAATATACTATTAGAAAGCTAAAAAAATGAAAGAAAAATAATTTTTTTTATAAATTTTTTATTTATTAATTATTAAAGGTCAAAAAATGGGGTAAGGGGCGACGAAGATGTTTCAGCAACCGTTCATAATTTATTATGGCTGGTGATGTATTATATGTGTCATTGTATCGTGGACTAAAAGATTTAAGTTAGATCCAAAACTAGATAAAATATTTGTATTTTTGTAAATTTGAGTAAAAGTTGGTTAATTTAAGGTCACAAAATTTAGAAAAATACTAAACGAGAGAAGCAGTAGAGATTATTCTAGTGTATGCTGTAAATACTAATACAATAAATAAGTGGTCCAAATTTCAAATCAATTTTATAATTATTTTTGAAAATATCTCCGTCGCCAGCCCAAAAAACATGATTTTGAGAAAAATGCAAGTAAAAAAAAAGGAAACAAAGTTCAAAAACCTTCACTTTTTTACTATACACAAACTAATGTTTTATTTTGATCACAAAAACTATTTTGTATTTCTAATAAAAATTTTTTTCTCGATTTTGTTTTAAGGTTACATAGCTTTTCTGCTTTTCTACATAGCTTTTCTGCTTTTCTACATAGCTTTCTGAGACTTGTTTGGTGTACTTACATAAACTACAATTTTGCCCATTATTACTAAATGTCATTTAAAGTTCATTTAAAAAACTATTTAAAAATTATTGTTTATCATAAAATTTAGAACAGCTGAAGAATGAACAGCTGTTTCTACTTAAATACTTAGAGCAGTTCTTTCAACATTCAACATCGCGTATAATTTGATCTGTTTTTTTTTTATGTAAACATTTTTCAAGAAAGCTATCAGAAGAAATGATTATAAGTATTGGTTTGATATTTTACAAAACAGCTAAAATAAAAAAATTCAAATTTATTTCATTTTTCATTTTTTTAATTTTTTTAGACTGGAATTTGTACTATGAACCTTTAGTGCACATAGTATGCTTTTACCCAATTCACAAAATGCTATAACAGGGTTTATGTCAAGTGGTCAATCACACGTTAAACTAGATCATTTTGTTTTGCATTAGAGTTTTTTTTAGAAATATTAGGAGTTAAATAAATAAAACGTTTCTCATTAAAAACCATTGTAAAAAGTTTATAGTCCAATACCTAGGCTTACTTTTTTAGATGAAAAAAGAAAAATCAAATTTTAAATATACAAAATCTTCACATTCTAGACTTTTGAGAAGCATAACTATGTTTTAAGTTAAAATAAATCTCATAAGAAAGTTTTAATCTTCATTTATGTTTAAAAAAATCCTGTGCAACTTCTTTGTTCGATAACTTATTGAAGGAGGATAAGATTGAAATATTTTCATTGAACTTCAGTCTGAAAGTATAGCAGTGGTTTCTTTAAAAATGCAAACCCTTTTATCACTGTTTTCATGAAACTTTGATTTTGCATTTGGCAAATCTTTTTTAAAGATATTTTTCTTTTTGATCTATCCGCAGTACTTTTATCTAAACAAGATATTAAAAAAACTAAGGTATAGAGTCACAAATAACCTCGACAAGAACATAAAGTAGTACTAATAGCTGTCTTGTGCGCATTAAACGCGCATTAATCTAGTCGATAAATAATATGTGAATAACAATAGGTGATATAGGCTATAAGAAGCAACAAATAAATAGCAATACATTGTTTTATACAGTCAGTATAAAGGTGTTTTTATTGCATTTTGTGGTATAATTTCATTGCAAAAATGCGTAGCAACGGAAAAATCAAAGCGTTGCTATGGATAAAAAAATGATACTGAATCATTTTAAACAAAGATTAGATGTAGATACCAAGGTTTTTTTTGCAATCCAAGAAAAAACTTGGAATCTACTATGAATTTATTGATATAAAAATGAATTTTTGAAAAAATGATTTTTTTAATTTTACTTTAAAGCTAAAACAACAATGTGATAATATTACAAGGTTATTTAATTTATATAAGAAATCTGCGTTAACGAAATATAATCTTTCTATTATGTTTAATTGTTTTATACATATTTTAACATTAAAAATATGTTATGCATTATATATTTTTAATGTTGTTTTTCTTCTTTGTAGTCGGTGACATATTGTCCCGGGTATTAGTATTTATTGGTTAAACACAATATGTTTTTTACCTTCAACATTAAAAATGCTTTACCTAAGTTAATATTATTATTTATATCAAATACAAATACAACATTCCATTTATAATTTGAATGAAGAGGTGCAACACCAGGCTCCTCTATGCTGACGAACATGGAGATACAGACGCTATAGACAAAGCAGTTGTTGTATCTATAAAGTTACTTTCTTATGTTGTTTTTGAAAGCGTTGATGGATTGAGCGTTCACTGCTTCTTGCGAAAGCGCTTTCCATGGTGCGACAATTTTATTTGAAAAAAAGTTATATCGCTCCTCACAGTTTTTTACCATCTGACGTTCTAGTTTATGGTTATGGCCTCTTAGAATATACTTATGGCCTCTTAGAATATCTTTACTTTTTAAAAATTTTTGCGAGACGACAAAACTGACAAGCTCGAGTTTACGAGTGATTTTGAATTGCTCGATAACTTCTGCTCTTTTGCGGCGTTCTTCAAGAGTTGTTAAACCGAGCCTTTGGACTCAATTTTCATAGGACAGGTGTTTAATAGTCGATATTGTTTTTGTTGCTCGTTGTTGGACTTGCTCGAGAAAGGCAATGTCTGATTTTAAATGCGGTGACCAGGCTTGTACAGCAAAGAGGGGGGCGAATGTAAGTGAGATGCAGAGTGCGCCATAAATAAAAACTGCGACTGCGAAAATGTTTATTTGCGTCGCCCAGCATTCTATTTGCTACTGATGCGGCTGAATCTATTTGCGGTCTGACTTTAAGATCATTCGAGACCATCACACCAAGGTCTCTTTCGACTGCGGTTTTTCCGAGAGGACGACGGGTGCCGTCGACGTTAGACATTGAGTGTTTGTACGTCGACTTGTTACATCCGCGCCCAACATGCATTACTTTGCATTTCTCAACGTTGAAATGCAAGAGCCAAATGTGTGACCACATTTGTGACATCTGTCAACGTCATCTTGGAGAGTGATGATGTCCGCCTCCTTTTTAATTATTCCTATTATTTTGCTGTCGTCGGCAAACAGTTTCATATAATGAGTAATTCTGTCCGGCAGGTTGTTTACAAAGATTACGAATAGCAATGGGCCCAAGACCGAGCCTTGAGGCACTTCACTAGTGACTGCTTTCCATTCAAATATATTCTACCCGGTATTTTATTTTACCCTCTTTCAAATTACGTACTCAATAGGTTTTTATTACGGATTAAAACCATTAGTCAAAAATCCTCAACGCCGAAAAACTTGTGTTTACATTTTTAAGATAAGATCTTTGAATTATTCTTAAATAAAACAACTAATATACTGCTATTATGCTTATGCAGCTTTTATTATAATATTATATAAAAATGTGCAACAACATTGTGCACTTTTTCTTAGTAATATTATAATCTTATATATGATATAATAAGCATATGAATTAAATAAGATATTAAATATGGATGATTGGGAATCTGATATTGTACCTATACAATTTGAAACTCCAGAAGAGAGGCAACTATCGTTTTTTTGTAATGCTTCGAGTGCTGGGGATATCGCAACCGTATGTATTTTTTTTTAAATAAACAATATAGTAATTTTATATAACAAATTAGTGTTCTTTATAATTATTGTCAACAATTTTTGTTAGAGATAAGTAAAAACAACATGAGCATTATTTCAGAGTGTAATTATCTTCCATTTCAATTAAGTCATAATTTCTTTATATTGAAGTGTCGTTCTGTCATATATCTTGTGTATTATTCAGCAATACTTTGGGTTGTTTTAATATAATTTAAAGTGTAAAAGTAATGCTTTTTGCATGCAAAAATCATGCAATGCTTGCATGCAAGATTTTTTTTAAAAGAATTTGAATTTACATATTCAATCAAAGTTTAAGGTAGTTAAACATATGATTCTCCTCTTTTTTCGGTAGGAGAGCACGGTGCTAAACTAATTAAAATTAAAGTTTTCACTGTGTTCTCTTACAAAAAAAAGAGGAGAATAAGAACCCTAGCTGCAAGCAACCGCTATTAAGTTGGGACTTACTAGAAAAATAAATAAAGTTAAAAAGCAAGGAATCAGTTGACAGAAGACTGCTTAGCAGATGCTAATTTAGAAATCAATTGTATATATGGTTTCCATAAAAGACCAGTAATAAATGATAATCTAAAAAAATTGTGAAGAAGAGCTCTCAGTAATGTAAGGTTGTCAAGAAGATCATTAATATAGATAAGAAACAAAACAGGACCAAAAATAAAACCTTGAGGTACTTCAGAAGTTACTGGATATAAAGAAGAATGTGGGCCTTGGAGGATGACTTTAATAAAGCGATTAGAAAGAAACAATTTGATAATCTAAAAAACTTTCTCAGATAAACCATATGAAACGAACTTATGGAGAAGACCAGCATGTCAAACTTTTTTGAAAGCCTTAGATATCTTAAGAGCAATAGCCCTAGCCTCTCTGCCTTCATCTAATGCACGATAAAGTTTTTCAGTCATAGTAGTTAGCAAGTCAGCTGTAAAGCGAGAGGATCGAAAAACTGTATTGATTGTCTGATAGTAAGTTATTTGACTCAAGAAAAGGCAGGAAAACAAGAATTAGTCAAATACTTATTAAATAGTTTAGAGAGAACTGAAGAAAGTTATACAAAATAATTTTGTATAACTGACTGGAATGTTGTCTGGACCACAAGATGTAGAAGAGTTTAATCAAAATATGACTTTACCATAAGAAGTTGGGGTGGTTTGAATGTCTAACAAGGGGTTGACCTGTTTAATTGAAATGGAAGGAAGATTGGCCTTAAGTTGAATTAGAAGAAAGGTTCTTTGCAAATAGTTCTGCCTTATCCTTAAGAGCGGTAAAAAGATATTAATAACAGAGAGATAATACATGATTAATAACAGTCCCGTAAATGAGAGATTGAATGTTAGATCTCTACCTTGTTAACAGCACTGTTGAAGATTTTCCAATAGTCTTTAGACTCTAACTTCTGAGATAAGATATGAGATTTAGTGAGCTGAGAATAATGGAACTTAGCATCTGACAGCACCTTTTTACATTGATTTCTTACAATAATAAATAGCTGTTTGTTCTCAAGAGAGTTGTTCATTTGAAAAAGATGAAAAAATGATTACAATTAGATATAACAGCTTCACAAGAGGGTAAAAAACCATGAATTAGAACAAGACTTGACTCGGAGCAGACAAGAAGGAATAAAAGCTTCCATTCCTGCCTGAATCCAGGAGGTTGTGTAGGAGATGCTTTATGGTAGTTGTAAGTAGTACAATGATGAGTCCAAAAAGGAGATACAAGATGAAAGATTTAAAGAAATCATAGCATGGTCAGAACCATCTAAAGGAGACCTAAAATTGAATTGATGCGTATGTATACCTTTAAGCCGAGCATGCGGCTATTAAAGTCTTTGCAAATCAAAGTATAATCAACACTGAGATCAGAAGAAGGAATTGCAGAATTGAAATTATATATATATATATATATATATATATATATATATATATATATATATATATATATATATATATATATATATATATATATATATATATATATATATATTATATATATATATGTATACATATATATATATATATATATATATATATATATATATATATATATATATATATATATATATATATATATATATATATATATATATATATATATATTGTTGTGTTTTTTTGCTATTGGTCCTCTTAGTCTTCGAAGCTATCCCATAAATATTTGCTTGAATAACGTTCTTATATACATTAAAAAATAGAGTTAAGTTTAAATGTAAATATAAATGGATGAGTAAAAAAATACTTAAATACATCAGATAACTATGAAAATATAAAATCTGCTGCCAGTGAAATCATCAGTGACATCTGTGTTTTTTTACCACAATCGTGGTAAAGAGGAGTAGGTGTCACTGATGATTTTACATCAAGTTGTTTATGAATGAAAAAATTTCTTTTAAAAACTTTGTAACCATTATTTATTTTTTAATTTACTCTTGAAAAATTCTTGAACAGGTTTGGTTGTGTGTTTGGGATTGTTATCCTGCTGGTATATCCATCAACAAGGGATTTTAATCCCTTGTTGATGGATATACCAGCAGGATAACAATTCCATAATTCTTTTAAAGAAATATACAAAGATATCTAAAAGTATTATATTTCGCCGTAAATATCCTATTCACGGGGAAACATAATGCTTTTATATATCTTTGTATATTGATCTATAGTTCCAGTATATTTTTGTATCTTGATCTATAGTTCCAGTATATTTTTATATATTAATATTATTAATATTAATTTTATATATTTTTATATATAACTATATGAGTTTTTTCTACATATTTTAAGATAAGTAGCTTGTATTTAACACAGGGTTGCAAAAAAATCCAGTTTTTTAAAAAAAAACAAAAAACCATGGGTTTTTTTAAAAAAACCAAAAAAACCATAGTTTTTTTGATTTAAATTAGGTTTTTACTGAAAAATGCGGTATTTAGTAATCTTTTTAAATTAAAAAAAGCAAATTCTTGAACTCTTTATCTGCGAAATTTATGGCAGCTTCATTTTCATTTTCAGAAATATTAGATCCAAAATATCTAGGATTTAGTGTATTTGCCAGGAAATGAGCATCACTGACAGTCTGAAGATATCTAGATTCAATTTTTTTTTTTCGTTTGATAAAAATGATAAACTGTTCATCAAATCTTTAAAAATTTCAAGAGTTATTTTTGTTTAATCTCTTTGCAACTTATCTAGAGCTACTACAATTCGTTTCAATATTTTCAATAAATCTTCTGTGTTTTGCTTTATCTGTATATCACTTACTTTTTACCAATCACGGGATCCAAGTCTTTATTTTTTTCAAACATTGTAAAAATAATGGTCCATTTGTTGACATATTTTTCAAGCATTCGCTTGAAAAATATGTCAACACATACAGAATTCCAGCAAGTTTCAGTAGGAAGTGGCAATTTTGTTCCTCCGTTTAATTTATAAAGTGCTCCAGCTTGATGGTTATTTCTTATATATTTTATTAGTGTAACATGCTTGCTTACATTTTCGATGTTAAGATCATTTGCTAAAAAATTCAGCATATGAGGAGCACACCCATAAGTTATGACAATATGTCTTTCAGATAACAATACTTGTCTCGTTGATTTCACATTAGCTGCATTGTCAGTCACAAAGCTTTTTACTGTGCATCCAAATTTATGTCTTACAAAATCTATTGCTTCTCTTGCTAATTGTGTAAGATATTCACCAGGATGTGAATGACCAGAAGTGTTGATTGTTTCTACTAAAATGTTAATTTCATCTGTAATTACAGAGATACAAACTATAGGTTCATTATGTATATTACTCCAGCCATCTAAAGACATGGCTACAATTTACCCATTCAATACATTAAATTTTTCAATTTCTTCTGTGTAAACCCTATTTAATATTTCTCCCCCAATTTCTGTTCTATTAGGTAGAGTGTATCCTGGATGAAGCATATTGATAATATATCTATATTGAAGATAAGTTATATTTGTGAACATAACCCTGTCTTAGTTTCCTGTTGTAAGTTCAAATCTTTTTAAAAAAACATTAGTTTGGTTTAAACCAACATTTTTTTAATTGGTTTAAACCATGGTTTAAACCAATGGTTTAAACCATTTGGTTAAAACTATGCAACCCTGATTTAACATCGTGCATTGTACTTCCTTCATATCTAGCATACCTGATTCCATCTAATCTTAACAGCATAAAACTTGTTTTCATAACTAAAAAAAATCTTTGATCATTGTTAAATCACTTTAGATGTAATGATGCAAAATCTTCTTGGGTATTTTGGTTTTTTAAGTAAATCAATGGCTTTTTAGCTGAGCCAAGTAAAGATGTAATATTTGTCCTTATGCATTTCCAAAATATCATGTTTTAAGGTACTGTTTTAAGGTACTGTTTGCAGGAAGTAGCTCCTTTTAATTACTCCAGATCAGGTCAGGTTCAGCATCATCACAATCACCCTGCTACTGATATTATGTAACCCGTTATTTCTTGTCTCATGCCCTGCTGCCTTGTAGAGACTGCTGCCTTTCTAGACTTTGCTTTTTAAGCAAAGTCTAGAAAGAAGAAACAAACTCTGAGTAAAAATCTACTGCCTTGGGTTTTGCCTTGGGTTGTTGTCTTGGTTGAGAAAGGCTAGAGATGGTGTGTCAATAAAAATACTCATATTGGGCAGATCTTAACAGCATTAAATAAAAAATCCTCTACCTTGGGGCTCTTGGTTGAGTAAAGGCTAGAGAATATGTGTGTCAATAAAAGTACTCATCTTGGGCAGATATAAACTGCATCCAGCTACTGTCTTGTAGAAGGTCTCAAAGGCAAAGACTTTAGGGGTAAGCAGAACAATTCTGCTAACCAGCCTTGAACCCCTTAAGGTTAATTAACAGGAGGAAATTGCATAGCTCATTGCATAAGAGTCAGTGCTCTATCTATGAATGAGTCAAATTCTCTTATATAATAATAAAATTAATCCAAAGTCTTAAACATAGAAAAGCATCACCACCACCTAACTGTTTTAATTTATCTTTTACAAATATTCGTGGTCTGCAAAGCAACCTTCCATCAATTGAATCTTACCTCTTTCAAAATTCCCCAGACTTATTTGCTTTTAGTAAGACTAATTTAAGTTCTTCTATTTCTTCTTCTGATCTCAGTGTTAATGAGTATTATCCTTTGATTGACTCCAATAATCACATGCTTGGCTTGGGGGTATATATACACATCAATTCATCTATTTGTTGTGAAATCAGGTTTGAATTCTTTGACTATTCTTTTTATGCACCTTTACTCTATCACCTTTCTCTTTTTTCTTTACTGTTGTCCTTCTTCCCAAGACTGCATTCTTTTAAATGATTTCTGATCAAATTGACCATTTTTTTCATTTTCATCACACTGAATAGCTTGGCTCTAATGCCACTGACCCTTTGTGACTCATTTTCCTAACAACCCTAATCATTTGCCTTCATTCCTTAATTTATGTCTTGATCCTAGCTTATGGTCAGTTTTTTCTATTTTTTTTCCTTTAGGTGGTTCTGAACATACAATGATCTCTTTAAATCTTTTATCTTCTAATTCATTTTCATACTCAACCTATCATCACACCATTTACTACTACTTCAAAGCTAACTGGGATTCTTATAGTGAGTTATTTTGTGCCATTCTTTGGGCTGATCTCTTTTCCCTCTCAGGTGAAAAATGCGCCTCCTAGGTAATCTTCTGGATTGAGGCAGGAATGGAAGCTTTTATTTCTTCTTGTCAGTTCCTAGTCAAGCCACATTCTACTTCATGATTTTCACCCTCTTGTGCTATTATATCTAATTGTAATTATTTTTTAAATCTTTTTCAAAAGAACAACTCCTTTGATAAAAAATGGCTATTTGTTATTGCAAGAAATTGATGTAAAAAAGTGCTGTCAGATGCTAAGCTCCACTATCCTCAGTTCATTAATTCTCATATCTTATCTCAGAAGTTAGGCTCTAAAGAAAATCTTCAACAACGTCATTAACAAGGGTAGATCTAACAACTTATCTCTCATTCATGGAACTGATTTCATTGCCTCTCCAAAGAATTGGGCAGAACTATTTGCAAAAAACTTTTCTTCAAATTTGACTTTTGAATCTTATGTCTATTCTCTTTCTACCATTCCAATTAAAAAGGTTAATCTATTGTTAGACATTCAAATTACTCCAACTTCCGTTGCTAAAGTCATATCTCTATTCAACTCTTCTATTGTTGTGGTCCAGACAACATTCCAATCATATTCTTACAAAGTTGTTCTCCAGAACCCTCTTCAATTCTCTCTAAACTTTTTAATAAATGCTTGACTAAGTCTTGCTTTCCTACCCGCTGGAAAATGGCATATTTTGTTTCAATTTTCAAAAACTCTGTTTTTCTGTTTCGTTTTTTTCTCACATCCCATCTTGAGTCAAATAACTTATTGTCAGACCTTCAACTTGGTTTTCGATCCTCATGCTTTATGGGGATATATTAAATCGTTTCTTTCTAACTATTTTATTAAAGTCATTCTTGAAGACTAACATTTTTTTTCCCATTAACTTCTGGGGTACCTCAAGGTTCTATCCTTGGGCCTATTTTGTTTCTTATCTATATTAATGATCTTCCTAACAACTTTACATCTAAATTTGCTCTTTTTGCTAAATTAGCACCTGCTAATGTTGCCTCTCTTTATTGTGTTTGCCATTTTCTTACTCCTGATTCCATTTTTTACCTCTATAAATCTTTATCTGTCTAGTTTTTTTCCCTGCTCTTTAACCATCTGGAACTCTCTTCCGTCTTTATGTTTTTCTTTTTTTTACAACCTTTAACTTTTTAAATCTACTGTCAACCATATCCTTGCTCTATTCTTTTTTTCTAGTAACTCCTAATTTAATAGTGGTTCCTTGCAGTTGGGAGTGAATCAGAATTAAAAAAAAGAACAATAAATTAGCATGATTAACGTGCTAGTATCGCTGTAGTAAATTCATTCCAAATATCTCATTTGCACATTTAAATCAACAAATGCAAACTGAAATTTTTGTTGCTTAGTATCACAAGTTTTTTATCCTGACAATGTTTTGTTTTGCATGGTTTTCCTGGTTACTTTAAATTCAGGGCTTGTGATGAAGCAAGCGCGATCGCGCTCTGCTCGTAAAACGCGCCCGTAAACGGTATTTTCAAACGTTCTAGGCACGATAAACAACGTTTATCGTGCTCAACTTATAAAGAGCGTATAAAATAACGCTCGTCCGGGACAAAAAAAATAATAAGTTATTTTTTTATTTTCATAAAATATTAAAAAAAGAATTTTTAGTAGAGATATTATATTATCGAAGCACTGATATAAAATATAAAAAGCACTACGTCATTCTCTTTTGCACTAACGTAATGAATGAACAGTTTGAAGTCGTTAAAGGTCACTAATTTCAATAATGGAATGTGCACGTGGAAACGTAATACGAATATAAAAATGCGCAAATAAAAATAAGAATAGAAAATTAGAAAACCGTTATAAGAAAATTGAAACTGCAGAATATTTTTAATCTTGCGAAAATATCAAGTAAGATTTATTTGATTTATTGTTTGTAATTTTCACACATCATTTATAATAAAAATAAATATTAATAACAGAGTAATTTTTAAAATTAGTTTTTGTTCATAGTATAGATTTTTTATTAACTATTATTTATTTTAACTCAAATTTTAAAACGATTCTGTTGTTAAGAATGTTCGCAATCAAGGACATTCCAAAAGGAAACGTAATGGTGTCAACATTTATTAAATAGAAACTATTAAACTATCTTATTTAACTTATAACCAATTTAACTATGAAATATATATATATATATATATATATATATATATATATATATATATATATATATATATATATATATATATATATATAACTATGAAACTTATTTATATAATCTTATTTAACTTATAACGAATAGTTTTTAAAAAAGAAGATTTTCAAATTATTCTTGTGATAATTTTTTAAGATGAAAAAAACGTAATTTAAATAAGAAATTTTAGAAAAAAATTAAATAATAACTAATTTGAATAAAAAAGTATCAAGAAATATAAAAACCATTAACCGTTAATTAAGTTTACATTTTTAAATACATATATCAAAACAACAAAGCAAAAAACTAAAATTATACTTCAATAAGAAGTTGCGTTTTGATATTTGATTATTTTTTTTTATCATAAAAAGTTAAAAAAAAAAAATCGCGATCTGACGCAAACAATATGCAAGAAGTTTGGAAAGAAAAAATCGACTTCGTTAAAGTAGTTTCATAAGCGTGATACTAATTCAAACATTTTTTGACGAAAGAATGATGTAACAAATAAAAAAAGATATAAAAAATAAAAAGCTTTTTATGAGCATTGTCTTCAGCAATTTTCATGATCGCGCTCGCCGACGTTATCTTGAGCGCACATGATCACGCTCGATTATAACAAATTCTAATTTTACGAGCGCGATATAACACGCTTGACGATTTTCTCCATCACAAGCCCTGAAATTCATTGTAGATTTATTAAATTAATATCTTTTCATAACTTGTCCATTAACAGACTTAACATCTCAGTAATGCTGTACTCTATTACAAAATATAATTTTATTTTAAAGCATAATTTCCTGTTTAAAATTTTTTTTTGGCTAGCATCCTGCATAAATTATATGAGATTGCCTACATACTCCTTCATATCTTTAGAGTTGGCTTAAATAATAAGTGCTCTTCATAAATAATGAAAGTTTATAATAGATAGCAAAAGCTCCTTATAGTTAACGATAATGATTCTACATGGTAATACTTAGACTTTCCATAAATAATCTTTTTATTTATAGAAAATACAAGATGCCCTTGTATACAATGCAGATTTGATCCTGAAAAAAAAATAGTTGTAATAAAAGTTCATTGTTCTAAAATATAAATTTTTATAAAAATGAGGTTTGATTGGTTTCATAAATTTGTGTAAATACTTGTTTTAACTGGTTTCATAAATTTTTATAGAAAAGGTCCACTAATGTCTGTAACATGTTTTGAGTCCTGGTAATAAGAGTCCTGGTAATAAGTAAATAAAACAATTAAAATGCAGATTAAAATTTTATTTTCTTAAACTTAAATTGATTTTTTTTTTTGTTTTGCTAAGTTGCACCTGCATAACAATAAATTTCCTCTTTTTTATGATTAATTTGAAAAAAACAAAGTCAAAAAATTGATAATAACTGTTAAAAAGTTTAAACTTTATTTATCATAATTATCAACTAGAACACCAACAACATGAAAATTATTTTAGATGAGATAAGATGAGATGATGTATTATAGATAAGATGAGATGATGTTTTTGATTTATAAAATCTATTCTAATTACAATAACTTATAATTTCTTTTAAACAAAATTTGAAACAATTTAAAATATATGATGTGTTGGAAGTTCTATTGAATAAAATTTAACCAAAGTTTTAATTGCAATTCAAACCTGCATCTAGTTCTATATTTGTGTCTGATTTAGAAACTGACATTAAAATTTTTACTCCCATGGTTAATATAATTAAGTAAAATCTTTTAAAAAAAATCATTTATATTTTGAAAATAATTTTTGTGTTTTTAAATAAAGTTTTAAATATTTTCAGATGCAGGATATGTTGGAAAAAAAATTAGTTGAAGGTGTTAACCAACAAAGTCCTAAAAAAAAAGAAACAGCATTACATTATGCTTGCCGTGAAAAGAATATGGATTCAATCAAATTTTTAGTTGAGAAAGGTGCAGATGTCAATATTAAAGGTAGTAATGTTTCATATGTGTGTCTGTGTGTGTTTATTTATATATATATATATATATATATATATATATATATATATATATATATATATATATATATATATATATATATATATATATATACATATATATATATTTATATATATATATATATGTATATATATGTATATATATGTATATATATATATATATATATATATATATATATATATATATATATATATATATATATATATATAAAAATATATATATATATAAATATATATATATATAAATATATATATAAATATAAATATATATATATATATATATATATATATATATATATATATGTATATATATATATATATGTATATATATATATATATATATATATATATATATATATATATATATATATATATATATATATATATATATATATATATGTATATATATATATATATATATATATATATATATATATATATATATATATATATATATATATATTATATATATATATATATATATATATATATACAAGGGCGGGTTTAGCTTTTTAAAGAGGTTAGTCAAAAAAGTCGGTTGCAGATTTCCCCGCTTCCTCCCCACAAAAGAATGGCGGGGGGGGGGGGGGGAGGATGAAGGTGAAATACAAAAAAAAAGCACCAACCCCATTTGTTTAATAAATAAGTTATTTGCAAAAGCCTTCAAAAAAGCGGCTCAAATGGTGTTGCATATTTACACAACAAACTAAGTAAAAACAAATTACTATAATAGCTACATATTATTAAATTACAAATTTAATACACAGTATGATTAATTTATAATAAAATATCAAAACATTTTTTTCTAGGTATGTAGTTTAATTTAAAAGGTACCAAGTGAAAATTGCTCTTTGCTTTTCACAAGTTATTATACGATAAAATAATGCTTTGCACTTGAAGATATAGTTAAAGATATAGCGCTAATTAAATAAAGTTTAATTAGTATGACTATCATACTATGAGAAATGCAATAACACAATAGCAATAATATGATAACTAACCATTAAAAGCCATTTTGTTATTTTATTCCTTTGATAGAAATGTTATATAATGTTAAACAATTGTAATATTAATGTTAGTAAACAAAGTTATGCTTACAGTTAATGTGTTCCATGTGTTTATTTTCTCTAAACTGTTGACTAATGATCAATAAAGTAAACTTCAAATAATGAAAGCTTACTAAATTAAAACCATATTTCAACTTAAATAACCACACTAGGTAGAATCACAAGGTAAAGCTGAAAAAAAGGAGAAAAGATATATAATAGACAATGTATATAATGCTCCTAATTAAAATATCAAAGATACAGTACATAATGGTACCAGTTTTTATTAACAATTGACAGGTAAAACTAAAGATAAATAGAGAAAAAAAGAATACAATAAAAATTAGAAACTTCATGAATAAAATAAAATAACAACTAAAATAAAATAAATAGTCCTTTTAAATAAATAAAACTATAAAAAATAAAATAATTAACTTTAAATTCAGGGCTTGTGATGAAGCATCAAAACTTTATTCAGTATCTAATTCACAATGTAAAAAACCCATAAATTCTTCCCTAACATAAGAATAATTCTTTCCTAACATCATAGGAATAAGTCTATAAATCTAATTACTAAAGACAATTGTTCCTGATTGGAGCAGTCAGATGCTTCATCAGCAATAACTGAAAAAAAATTGATTTTCTTTTATTTCAGAAATCAAAATATTCTGGATGTACTTTTTGCAACAACTTATTAATTCATTCTGTGACAAATTAAAAATATAAGATGCACTCTTTGCACAGCTGTTAAGATGAAGTTCAAGAACTTTATCCCCACCTCTGATTCTGTAGTTTAAAAGTTCAATAAAATTACCTACTCCACCCACTTAAGAATATTTGCCAATGACCATCACAATGACCCTGAAAGCTATAATAAGTCGGATTAAGAAAATGATTGAGTCAACAATTGGAAGCAACTTGAGTCAACAATTGGACGCAACAATTGGACGCAACAATTGGACGCAACAATTGGACGCAACTTCTCAAGATTTAAAGCTTTTCATATTCTTTATTAAAATATCTATATTTTTAATATTTCTATTCACAGTATTTAAAACTGCGGAAAATGTAGTCCAGGTATAATTTGTACTGCGTGATGATAATGATGGTTCATAAATATTTCTGCTGAGTGATGTTCATAAATATTTCCTTTTTTACCATGATAATGTCTATAAAAAGTGCTCACAGCTTCTGGCCAGTATTTGAATGACTGAGAATACAAATTTTTAAATCTAGGAGCTTTTGAAGGGTATTTATATCCAAAGAAAATGCAACACAAACATAAAGCTTCATCTTTAGAAGGGGAATATCTAAGCCATGAAAATTTTTTTAACCATAAAAGTTTGAAAGTTCGCCCATTTGTTTTTTGAAAAGAATAAGTTTCATCAGGAAAAAAAACATTTTGAATCAAATTTTATATTTGTAAATCTTTCAAAGTAGAAGCCTTCGAACGAAAACATGCAATATCATATTCACTACAGAGTTCACTTGACAATTTTATTTAAGCGAGACTCTGCTCACAAATTTTCAGTGGATAAGATGCTTTTGTCTTTAGTTATAGAACTATTTTCATTTGAATATAATGTATTATTTGGATAAAATGATTTTGAATCAATAAAAGAATTGCAAACAATATTTTTATAAGAGGAAGAAATACACTTTTGACAGGAATACATGAAACAGTTTTATCATTAATGGTAGATCTAGATGATACCTCATTCATATTATATTTTTCTGCAAACATATGAATTGTTGACTGATTAGTAAAATTAACTTTTTTTACAGATTTTACATTTTAAACATTTCTTATCTGAAATGAAAACAAGAGACACATAATGATTGTGTTTATATGGACATGGAGGGTTTATTTCCACAAAACAAAACAGCAAATTAACAATATCTGATGATAAACATAGAATACGAGGTTCAATATTAAGATCAAACATAATTTTATATTTTCGGAGAGAACTAATTGTTCTATAGTAACACTGAACTCTTGTAGAACACACATTTGAAAGAGCAAGAACACAAAGAAATCCAGACCATACAAATTCTTTACACATATCCTTAACAAGGTCATCTTTTAATTTTCCTGAGTCTATAGAATGTGTGGATACAGACACTGTTAACCAATTATCAATTGATGAAAACTCATTTGGATACTTTGAGCACAAGCTTAGAAAAGATGGATGATTACTGTAAAAAGAGGCATTTAAATATAAATCAATTGCTGTCAGTATTTTTAAATCCATTGCCAGACTATTATCACCACACAGATAAATCGAAAATAAACTAAATAAGCAATTGCCAGTAGATTCAGGTCTGTAAAAAGGGCAATTAAAAATTTTTAAAGTAAAAAAAGTTCTACAATAAGCTCAATGGAAAATAAAATTGGATTTAATCATTTATTTACAATAAATCAGTTTGGTAAAAAGTTGAACCAATTAGATCAAGGCAAAAAATATATTTTATAATATTATTACTATATAAATTTACATCCCCAAATGAATGAACGTAAAGATAATATGTTTACAAATTTTAAATTTAAATTTTTATTTTACTTGTTAGGATAAATAAAGTAAATCTTACTTCACCGCCATAGTTGTTCTTGACTGGCATTTCTGAGCGCAATTCTTGAATTCAACAAAAAGACTCAAAAGAAACTCAAGCTCAACAGAAATATTTCTCTTTATTGACTTATTAACAGTCAACAACTGATAAAAAATCTGACTTATGAAGGAGATCTTCACTGACAATTTTGAATAAAGAGTTTGTAAATTTTCGATAAATCCATTTTCAAGCAAATACCTTACAGATTGTAGAGAAATGCACGCCATATCAAAAATTATTTAAAAATCATTTAAAACATTCAAAGAATTATTTTTAGAAAAGGTTTCTTTTAAGTTAGTCAGAGGGCAATCACATATATTTAATTCGACTAACTTGGCCTGAAGTTACGCTATCGAACGATGAAAGTAAAAAATTTTAAGTACTTTAACAACATTTAAAAATCTTGTCAGCCGAATAAAAGGGCCAGATAAGTCGCAAGATTTTTTTGACTAACTTAGCTTTAAGTTACGTTACCGAACAGTAAAAATAAAAAAATTTAAAGGACTTAAATGATTTTTTAAAATCTCATCAGCCGAATAAACGGTCCAGATAAGTCACAAGGTTTCTTGACTAACTTGGTCCAAAGTTACGCTACCGAAAAAAAAATTACAAGCCGCGCTCGACATGGGCTATTACATGCGCATTTACTTATCATAGTTTATTAGATATTGCTGTTTAGACCAAAAAGATAGAGATTTTATTTAATTTCAAAACTTTCAAAAATATATAACATATTTCATTAGCCTGATCGTTGTTTAGTTTAGTAAAAATGATGTTAGTCAATGCGCCTAACAAGACTAACCCTAAACCAAGCCCTGATATATATATATATATATATATATATATATATATATTTGTATATATGTATATATATTTGTATATATATATATATATATATATATATAAATATATATACATATATAAATATATATACATATATAAATATATATGTATATATATATATATATATATATATATATGTATATATATATGTATATATATATATATATATATGTATATATATATGTATATATGTATATATATATATATATGTATATATATATATATATATATATATATATATATATATATATATATATATATATATATATATATATATATATATATATATATATATACACAGTGCTCAAAATAATTATTTAGATGTTGCCGATCAACACTGATCAACCGAAAAAATAATTATTGAAAAGTAGACGATCAAATAATTTTCCAGATATTTTTTCTAATTTGTATTAAAGTTTTATGTGTAGTAATTTTTGCACTTTTTGCTTTTGTACTTAATAGCGCTGCTTATTCC